TCAAAGAAGAGCCAAGGTAAATAGAGAAACTGGCAATTAACTTTTGGGTATCTAAACATCTAGCTCGATTAGAATCATTGAATGCCTTAAGTTGTAAAATATTGGATGTTGAAAAGAAAATCCTAGCTCCAAGTGAGCCTTTAATGTACCATAGTATTATATTAGCAGCTTGTTGATGTGCTATGGTAGGATGTGAAACATACTGACTTAGATGTTGCACAGCATAGGAAATGTCAGGTTAAGTATTGGTAAGATAAGTGAGTATTCCAATTAACCTTCTAAAAGAGGAAGCATCAACATTAGAGAGTGGTGAACCAATTGTTTGGTGAAGTTTTGTAGTGTAATCTGTTGGTGTGGAGAAAAGTTTAGAGCCAAGCATTCCTGAATTAGTTAGTATGTCAAAGGCATATTTTCTTTGACAAAGATTGATGCTAGATGATGATCTTGCAACCTCAAACCCCAAGAAAAATCTCAAATCTCCCAGATCTTTAATTTTGAAAGCAAAATCAAGTAATTGATTAATGTTTGTAATTTCAACCAAGTCATTTCCTGTCAATACTATATCATCCACATATACTAGTAATGTAGTAAAAGAATTGAGATTACGCTTCAAAAATAGTGAATAATCAGTAGAACATTGTTTTTAACCATGAGAAGTAAGGAAAGTTGATAGCCTAGCATACCACTACCTACTAGCTTGTTTTAAGCCATAAAAAGGTTTATGCAATTGACAAACCTTATTTGATTGATTTTGATACATTCCAAGAGGAAGTGTCATGTAGACTTCTTCATGGAGGTCACCATGAAGAAAAAAATTGTTCACATCAAGTTGTTTCAAGTGTCATTTATGAGTGGCAGCCAAAGTAAGAAGTATTATTGTAGTGAGCTTAGCCACTAAGGAAAAAGTGTCTAGATAATCTTGACCTTCAATCTTTGTATATCCCTTAGCAACCAATCTAGCTTTATATCTTTCTATAGTTCCATCAGCTTTGTGTTTAATCTTATAAATCCATATGCATCCAATAGTTTTTTTAGTAGGTTGTAATTCAATGAGTCAAAGTATGGTTAGATTCAAGAGCTTGTATCTCATAATTCATGGTCTCAATCCAATGTTGATGTTTAGAGGCTTCATTATAAGATTTGGGTTCCTAAACTGCAAAGACAAATAAAATTGACTTTCTATAAGAGTGTGAAAGTTTTGTATAAGAAAGAACGACATTAATAGGATATTGTTTCCCCAAGAATTGTGAAGAACTTGAAGATAATAATTTCGTATGATAATCAACAAATTTGTTGGGATGTCATGACTATCTTGAGGACCTCCTTAATACCATGGGATTTTCATTGTTGACATGAGGATCAACAGGCCTTAAGTGGATCATTAGGAGATGGTTGAGGAGTGATAACATCATCAGGAACAAAAAAGAAAGCAATTTCTTGTGGTAAAGGTAAAACATAAATAGGGTCAGGTTTGCTATCAACAATATAAGGGAAACAATCTTCATAGAATACAACATCTCGAGAAACCTGGAATTAAGATTAAAAGTGATATACCCTTTTGTGTTTGGTTTAAAACCAAGAAATATAGAGTATACAACTCTAGGATCTAGCTTTTTTCTATTAGTTGTTATTGTACCTGTGTAATAGAGGCAACCAAAAACTTTCAGCATCGAGATATCATAAGGTTTCTGATATTGCTTCTCATAAGGATATGTGTTGCTAAGTAAAGGATCTGGCATGCAATTTATCAAAAAAGAAGCTTGAAGCAAGGTATACGACCAAAAAATTGAAGGTAAATGTGCTAGAAATAACAAAGATTTGGTTACATTTAAGAGATGTTGATGTTTTCGTTCCACAATACCATTTTGTTGTGGCATTTCTATACAAGTTTGGTGAACAATATCTGTTTCCTCATAAAAGCTCTACATTATGAATTCAGATCCATTGTCTAACTTGACCATTTTTACTTTAGTATTAAATTGTCTCTCTACATGTAGAATAAAGTTCATTAGAGTGGATTATGTCTCAGCTTTCAAACACATCAAAAAGACCCAAACAAAACGTGTGAAATCGTCCACTATGGTTAAGAAGTACTTATGACCTTGCATAGAGGAGATGTTGCAAGGACCCAAAATATCAACATAAACAAGATTAAAAGGGAAACTTGAATGTGAGTCAGTGTTGGGAAATGAAAGTTTTTTTTGCTTAGCTCTATGGCAGATCTCACAAACAAAGTTTTTATCAAAATAAATAGTAGGATATGTTTGTTTCAATACTAGCAATCTCTCAAAGAGAGATGCCCAAATCTAAAATGCCAAATGTCTATTAGCAACTTATTACATGTAAGAATGGATCTATTACAAATAGAATCAACTATATTTTGTAAATCAGAAACAAAGTGAAGAGTTGGAGAATTAAGGGGGAGCATATCCAACTTGTATAATCCTTCAATGACTTCAACTGTACCAATCATCTTCTGGTGTTGTAAATCCTGTATCAAACACTTGTTGGGTGTAAAAATCACTTGGCAAGGCAGAGAGGACATTAGCTTAGATGTGGAGATCAAATTGAATTTAAAACATGGCAGGTATAAAACATCTTCAAGGTACAAATTATCATAAAAACATATGCTTCCAACATGTGTTGCCTGTACTTGATGTCCATTAGGAAGTTTAACTAAAATTGGAGTGATTTTTTTTTATTTTTTGGATATAAATGTGGTGAGGAAACCACATGATCTGTCGCTCTTGAGTCCAAAATCCATGAGTTATTATTTTGTTTATTTACATTATAGGTAATCGTAAGTACATTGTTATTTGCTTGAGAAATTGAAAGACCAGAGGTGGTGCCAACTTGATTAACATGGGAAGCATTGGAAGCTAGATTTCCTCCTTGTTGTTGTAGTAAAGCCATTAAAGCTTGGTACTGTTGGTTGGTCAGCTTAATTTCCCTTATCTGTTTTTCTTGTTTTTGATCATTAGAACTTATTATTGCTGAATCATTTTTCATTATATTGTTAATAAAGGAGCTAGATTGCTTGTGAAATTTATGGCTTAGGGGATAACCGTGCTTCTTGTAACCATCATCTATAGTATGTCCAATATTACCACAATGGGTGCATAGTCTTCCTCTACTCAAACCACTTCTACCACCTCCTTTAGAGGGTCCAGATTCTTGAGAATAGCCATGTTTCTTATATCATTTATCCTCTATATGATAATCCTTTCCATAATAAGTACAACACATTGGATTTGTTAGAGGTTGCAACATTTATATAACTTGAATGTATATCACTACCAATAATCTTTCTCTCTTGTTAAACATCATAAGAAAACACCTTACTAATGGCATGCATAGGGTCCATCATCAGTATGTTGGACTTCACATTGCTAAAAGGTTCATTCAAGCCTCCAAGAAACTGCATCACTTGATCTTGTTCATTCCTTCCCATAACAACTTTTAGAGCATCACAGGCACATTTTTGCTTACAAGTAAACTTAGCATCGAGCCTATAACTCTCAAGTTCATCCCATATCACTCTCAATTTTGTGAAATACTCGGAGACAGATATATCACCTTGTCTCATGGAAGCCATTTTTTGTTGCAACTTAAAAATTCGCAACAAATCAACTTGTGAATATCTAGATTTCAAGTCTTTCCAAATAGCTCTCACATCATCCATCCAAAGAACACTCAGACAATTGATGGAGACACAGAATGCACTAGCCAAGAAACGACCATGTTATTACATCGTTTCCATGTTGTATGTAATGGGTTATCAACCACATATCATTGAATAGAACCATCCATGAATTCTTCCTTGTTCTTCGTGCTTAACACCGTAATCATTGATCTACTCCAAGAATTGTAATTGCTCGAATCCAACACTAGTGAGACCAATGAAATAGCAAGGTTCTCTCTTGGATGCTAGTATGGGCTATGCACATTCAAAGATTGATCTATTGGAGTTTGTCAATCTTCCTTTGCACTCATGGTGTAAAATAGAAGGTATACGAACCAAGAAAAGAATGAGATCGAAAAGAAGAAAGAACATGAATCAAGAAAGGAATGAATTAAAACAATGAACGATTGAAGAACAACGAATCAAGAAAGAAACAAATCAGAATGAATCAGGAAAGGATAAGAGTAGCGCAACAGAGCTCTTCAATTGAAGAGCTTTGATACCATATCAAATATGGTGACAGCCATTGAAACAAGGGGATTGTGTTTGAGAAAGAAAACTTGGAGAAGAGAGAAGAAACAATATGATTTTCATTGAATGATTTTGTGAGTGAATAATAATTAAAATCAATTATAGAAATTGTCTTTTATACATACTAAAATAAAACTAATTATAATGGTTACTTAACCATAATAACTAACAGAAGTTAATCAACTAAGAGGAAGTGATTCTTTTTGGGGATGTCTATATGCGTGTTTGGTTATATTTCTTAATCAATTCCAACATTATAATAAAGGTTGCCGAAAGTGATGATGTTTGGGATCTCCTTAAATGCATGTTTGCAAAAATTATTAACTACATACAGTATTATCCTTATAATTATTTTTTATGTATAATTAATTTCATCTGAATTCTTTGTGTATCACACCTTGTTTTTCATAAATAAAATAATATAATTATTTCATATATAATTTTTTATTTACTTAATTAATTTGATTAATTGAAATTTTAAAATAAATAAAAATTATTTTTACAATAATAAATGGGTTGTGGAGTTAATATGTGCTGCTGGGTTAAATTGGGTTTTGGAATCTAAAAATCCAAACTAATTGTTAACTATAGTAAGTGAGAGATTAGAGAGTTAAGCATCAGTTACACTTTTGACGCTTGAGAGAGTTATTAAGAGTTTGCAGAAGAGGTTCAACCGGATAACTTTTGAGAAGATCATTCAACAATCCAAAAAAAATCAACAGAAATAAAACTATAGGATGAAATCCTAGAAACAAGCTATAGGCACTAAAAACCAAACTTAGAATAGGGACGAAACCCATTATTGAGGAAAATTACGAGGACAAAAAAATATAATAGAATCAAATACAAATATGACTATAAGACAGTCCAAATTCCCTAATTTCTGAAATGGTTAATAGTAATAATACATTACCCTTTAACTCTCAAATGATAATCAGGAAAATATCTTCACTGGCAATGTTAGTCGTATCATTTTGTGAATGGTTCCAAGTCTACCAAATCAAACAAAATTGTTTCCCATGAGGGATAGACAAAATGTTAATCAGGAAACAACTCTTCCTCTTGAAATAGAGTGACCATTGACAGACGTAAATGAACTGCACCCAATGTTGAGAATTTTATCTCGTCTAAGTGAAAATGGATCTATCCCTGCCTTGTGAGCTGCAATAACTCCAATGGCCTCCCAATAATTTGACACATGCAGCTGCCGAATAGGTAATTTTATCAACCAAAATGCTCTCATGTTGCAATAGAAGTAAAATAAACTGTTTAGATGTACCCACACTTTAATTTAATTTTTGTCTTTTAAGCATCAGCATTAAAAAACTCGCTCTTGAATGGCCTGAAACGGACATATAACTATTTTACTTGTTTGTCTGTCTATGTATCTATTTTAACTTTAGTCTAAATCCATTATTCCATTATAATCCTTACTGAGCAAGTTCTAAATGAAATAACTAGAATTTTTTCCAATTCATTTCTCCAGAAATTTTATTCAAATAGATAAAGATCCTATCTTTTCTTCTTGTCTTCTAAGATGACAAATTTACAAAATGAAAAATCACGTACCACTTCAAGACCAAGTTTATCTGCAGTATCATCAAGAACAGTTTCATTTTCTTCCACAGTAATTATAAGTGGCTGCAAGAAAATCTTATACTGTCATTATACAATGAAACAACGTGTCATAAAAATATCTGGTTGGAAAGTTGGATTTGCTGACCCGATCAAAAGCTTAAAATACCATATGGAAATAATTGTTCTTATTGATCAAACCAGAAAACCAAAATAAGGAAAAAAAAATATGTTTGTATTTATACCTTTTTATTTTTATTTCTAGCAAAAGCAAGAGATGCATCCCCTCCACAAGCATCTTTGGGAAGAATTACAGAATCCACATCAGTTGCCAATATGCAACCTTTTTCTAAGGATTTGGAGTCCATGACCAAGTATTGTGGAGCATTACTTAGGCCAGCAAGCACACATGGTAGGAAGGTGTACCCAATCTATTTGACAAGAATAAGTTATCCACAAGTACTATTCCCCATTAAAATACAGAGAATGAGAAATATCCAATTTATAATGAGAATAAAATCTTGTTAATGAATTTAAAACAAGAAACATTAAAAAGCACATTGTACACTAGAAGTGTTGATTTTCATTCATTTAATGGACATGTCAATATTTGAAATGAATAACATGGAAAAAAAAAGTCCAGTATAAAGGGGCAGGAGAAGAATGGGGAACAGTTTAATCTGAACAGTTCAAACTTCAAAGCAACCTTGTTCTAAATGGCTGTATCTAACTAAAAATTGGTTTTTGATCATGTCTAATCCATTTAGACAAGCTTGCACAGTACTGATAATTAGAGACAGATTAGTCAATGATTATGTCAATATTTGAAAATAGGCAAGGGGATTTTCTTTTTTGTTATAATTTATAACAGTATACTTTCCTTTACTTAGAATCAGAATTTCTAATTCTTTTACGTTCAGAAAGTGTAATAAACCAAACCTATATTCATCTTTACTGAAATTTTATAAAATGCTACTTTGCGACAGCTAGATCTGAAACAAATTTGCTAAGGCAGGTAAGTAGTAAAAGGTGATTTCTTCTGACACCTCGAAGTCAACCAGCATATGAAAAACTCTGAACTAGGTAAACTACCCGCTATTTCTTATTAGTTTTACACGGCCTCAAGTTTTTGTTGGTATTCACAGTTTTAAGTAACAGTTTTCAGTAATATGTGTACATATAGGCACTCATACAAGACGTGCTATTGCATACTTTCACCAATATGTATCTGTCAAGGTATGCACGAATCATTGAAACAGGTGGAAAATATATTCATCATAAAATGCTAGAAACATTTATCAGAATGTACAAACTAAGTATGTGTTAGTACACAGAGGATCAGTGAGGTGAGTTCAATATAACAGACTTCTAATCTTAGTTGTCGTCTCATCAGCACAGTGCAGGCACACGTGACAGACAAAGTTGTTGACATTTCAATACGCGAGTGTGAAAGACTTGTATTGACAATCTAGTCAGACTAATGCTGGAAAAGGTTAATGCTCAACTAAGAACCTAATTCACTTGAAGGTTTAAATAGCTATTTGATTTGGCATAAATTATCAACTCCATAATTACCAAATCTACACCACATCAAATCTTGAGTTAAAATTATATACAAAACTATATGATTTCTCATTCTCTTGATTGATGAAAAAATGGATAAAAACACCAGGTTCAGAAACTTTAATTTTGGTATATCAATAGAAAATTTAACAAGCGGGGGATTCTTGCTAAGTCACCAAAAAAAATCAAAATCACACTCATTTTAAAAGTTGCAAGTGGATATGTACTAGGAGGCACCCCTTCGGTTAGGTAATAGGCCGAAAGGGGTGCCCGAGCCGACGAAAACACACCAATCGGCACCCCTTCGGTCAGGCAATAGGCCGAAAAGGGTGCCCAAGCCGACGAAAACACACCACCCCTTCGGCTGGAGGACGGGCCGAACACACCCTCTCGGCCAAAGGGGGTACCCCATGACTCCCTTACCACTAGAAGAGAACACCCATCAAAACCTCTCGGTATTAAGCTGGGCCGAACACCTCCTCGGCCTTGACCTGAGCCGAACACCTCCTCGGCCTTGACCTGAGCCGAACACCTCTTCGGCCTTGGAGGAGGCCGAACACCCTTTCGGCCTCATGCCTAGCCGAAGACTTCAACAAAGAGCAGATCACAAGCAACACTGCCATCAAGGACGAGTCAAACACCTCCTCGGCCTTGACCTGGGCCGAACACCTCCTCGGCATTGACCTAGGCCGAACACCTTTTCGGCCTCGGGGGAGGCCGAACACCCTTTCGGCCTTACGCCTAGCCGAGGACTTCAACAAAGAGCAGATCACAAACAACACGTGGCAAGTTAGATACTTATTATGCGCTAATTACCATGCCAGATTAAGAGGAGATTAAGGCTAACTCAAGTGTTACCCATCTCCCAAGACTGAAGGCCCACCAGGCCCAATTGTGTCACTATAAATACACAGGTGATGTGACATAAAAAGGTACGTTATTGTCCAATATAAAAGTACTTATTGCTCTATACCGAATACTCACTTGATCGTTGGAGTGCCTTTGCAGGTACCCTCCCCACCCCGTGGAGATAGTAGTCGGTCGGCACCGAAGACTTAGAAGATCAAGAAGGAAGAACGACAAGAGGAGTGTTTCTACGCAGGAACATTTTGGCACCCACCGTGGGACCGAAACCAAAACGGTTCTCGACCCTGAAGCAAGATGGTAGCAACAAGGAGCCAACAGGAGAACGCAGCAACTCACCCTTTCGGGATGCCCCGAGATACTACTGGACAACAGACTAATCGCAATGAGGAAGGAATGGAGGAATCCTACGTAGAGCGATCCCAACAACCCAATCCGTCATCGGCCATCGAGCAATTGAAGGCCGAAATGATGGAACTAAGGAGGCTCCGAGAAAAGGACGCTCACGAATTATCAGTTCTAAGGAAGGAAAACGCAAAACTCCGAAGTGACAATCGATCTTGGCACCCATCCCACGATATCCCAAATACTCTGTCAACTAAGGACCAAGGGGAGTCTTCGGGGTGGTACAAAGAAACAAGAGATCTTAGACCCCCACCAGGAGTGACAACTACTACTCTCGACCAGCAACGAAGACAAGGAAGGACGCCGTTCACACCAGATATTGTCGGGGCCCGTTTGCCCGACAATTGGAAAAACTTGACCCTGGAGAAGTATGACGGGACTGCCGACCCGGAGGAACACCTTGATGCATTTGTCACCCAGGTCGGTCTATACACGGATGATGATGTTATCCTCTGCAAAGTCTTTCCCACTTCGCTAAAGGGACCGACACTCAACTGGTTCACGAGGCTCCCACCTGGATCGGTGGACTCGTTCACGTCCCTATCATCCCGGTTCGTGATACAGTTTACCACGAGCCGTCCTCATCAGCTCACATCAATCGCGTTGGTCAATATACGCCAAGAAAAGAAAGAACCTCTGAGAACTTTTATGGAAAGGTTCGGAAAGATGACGTTATCCATCCGCAACCTGGACCCGGCCGTAGCAATGCATCACCTGACCATGGCGTTACGACCCGGACCCTTTGTCAACAGCTTATGCAAGAAGCCACCCCGAGACCTAGACGACCTGAGGCAGAGAGCCACAAAATACATGCAGATGGAGGAACTGGCCGAGTTTCGGAGTCAAAACCGACCCGACCTATTTTTCGCGAAAAAAGAAAGTGACAAGGAACCGCCCAGATCACGCCCCAGAGACGTGTCGGATCGTGACAAGGGTAATAGGGGGCCGAGATATATGCAGTACACACCGCTCAACACCAGCAGGGCTAAGGTGTTGGAACAGGCCCTAGCCACTGAAGTCCTGGCCGTCCCCCGAAGAGCCATGACCCCACCGCGCGCCGATAAAACAAAAGCATGCCAGTTCCACCGGAATAGAGGGCACACTACTGAGGAGTGTTCCGCCCTTCGGGATCGAATTGAAGACCTTATTAAGGCCGGACATCTTCAACGCTTTGTTCGATCATCAGACAACCGCAGGAACGATAATCGTCCTGGTAGGGGGGAGTACAGAAGGGAGAATCGGGATCAGGCACCTCCGCGGAACCAATCCCGCGAGCGTAGCAGGTCCCAAGACAGGAACAATCAACGGGACCGCAATCAACCTAGACGAGTGATAAACACCATTGCCGGAGGCTTCGCAAGAGGAGGAAGCTCATCCTCAGCCCGGAAGAGACACTTGAGGGCCATCACGTCGGTCAACGCTATAGGACGGGCATCCCCCATTCGTATGCCCCCCATAACATTCACCGACCGAGACTTTCAAGGCATTGACCCAATACAAGGCGATCCCATGGTCATCAATGTAGAGATCAATAACTGTATCGTGAAGAAGACTCTGGTCAATCAGGGTAGTTCGGCGGACATCTTGTACTGGAAGACGTTTGAGCAACTGGGCATTCCGGAACAGGAATTGACACCTTTACGATGAACCTTTGGTAGGATTTTCGGGTGAACGGGTGGACACTCGGGGAACGATAGACCTGTACACCTACTTCGGGGATGACCAGCGTAGGCGGATCAAGGTGCGCTACGTGGTTGTGCATGCCAACACTTCGTACAACATTCTGTTGGGCCGACCCTCTCTGAACAGACTCCGAGCCATCGTATCCACCCCACATTTGACTATGAAGTTTCCGTCAGAGGAAGGGGCCGTCATCACCGTGCATGCCGATCAGAAAACAGCACGCGAGTGTTACTTCGCCAGTCTAAAAGTACAGCCAACTCTAAAACCAAGACGAGACGTCAATGTTATCGGAGATGTTGGCCAACAGGAACCAGGTGAAGGCCTAGAACTTGACCCGAGAATGGAGGATGAAGATAGGGTCGAACCCATCGAAACAACGGTTCCGTTCCAACTTGGAAAGAATGAAGATCAAGTCACTTTTTTGAGTTCTCAACTATCTGAAACAGAGGCTAAGGATATTAAGCAAGTCCTACAAGAATATTCGGATTTATTCGCTTGGACTGCAGCTGATATGCCGGGCATCGATCCTAGTTTTCATTGCCACCGACTCTCAATATGTCGAGACGCCATGCCTATCGCTCAAAAGAAAAGAAAAATGGGTGGGGAAAGGGCCCAGGCAATAAAAGAGGAGACCACCAAGCTACTACAAGCGAGATTCATAAGGGAAGTCAAGTACTCCACTTGGTTGGCCAACGTGGTGATGGTGAAAAAGTCAAATGGGAAGTGGCGGATGTGCACGGATTACACGGATCTGAACAAAGCGTGCCCAAAAGACGCTTACCCCTTGCCCCACATCGATGCATTGGTCGACGGACCGGCCGGCCATCAGAGACTGAGTTTCCTGGACGCTTATTCGGGGTATAATCAAATACCTATGTATCCCCCGGACGAAGCAAAGACCGCGTTCATCACAGAT